TGAAGTGAGGAGGAGGAGAACTCTGGCGGTCGGTCGAACACGCCGTCATTGAAATCGCACAATTCCCATGGTATATAGCAGCGGCAAGTAGAGATACAGTGGCGTTTTATACTGCTGCTCGCGATGGCGTTCGTAGTGCTGACAATATGATGCGCTCCTTACTATCGTATTATACAACGAAGGATGGAACAAGGGGCCATCGCGGACTGCAGCCAAAGGAACAAACGTGCGATGGCCAAGCAGCCAGTTGCTTCACTCTTTTGACTTGCGCTGGCATCGTGAGATCAGACTGCCTCCGGTAGGAAGGAGCGCAGTACCTTTGCTATCACCGCAACGACTACTGCGAGAGCGGAAATTTTCCATGGACAAATGGCGCCCGCATCGGTACCAGCAGCGGCTGCAGGAGCATTACAGCCTCCGGAGAGACAAGGGCAAAGCGAACGAGCCACGTTGCACTATTCAGCTTCCGCATGACTCAACCATGGCTTGGACGTTTTCAGTTTCCACCCGAAAGCCGATGTGTCTATATGGGAATCCACATCTACATGTGTGTCTGTCTGCGAGGGCGTGTTGCTTTTTGTGTAGGGCACGAAAATATGGACGCTCCAAGGGGAACTGCTGACAGGACCTCGCTGCCGCGCAAAGCGGATATAAAAGACGATCTATGGAAAACAGAAGCGGGTTGTACAAAGTTACATAGACGTAGATCCATATATAAAAATAGATATGTGAGAGAGGGGTCTGGGACATAACAAAGCGCAATAGCCGCGTCTGTACCAGAAGTCTGTGGCCTTCGTAGCACGCGGTTGTTGTGCAAGTCGTGCTGACTGAGATCGAAGGCAGGCGTTGGCTGCCGCTTCGACGGAGAAGGCTGCATAGAGAAAGGAATGAGTCTTAGGTCTGCCTTTTTGGTTACAGCGAAAGATTCAGCAGGTATGCGCACGGCGTGCACCGAAATGCAAACATTGCCGTTTATATGCATGTATCATATAATAGATACATTATCTATTGTGTAGCACAATGGGTATAGTTCTGTAGTACATGCATATGTACCCATATAAACAACAATGATCGCGTTTATACAAATCTATACTTTTTATACCGTCTGCTGACCTTATGTAAAAGGCAATATCTGGGAAACATTGGCATATGAAAATGCGTCTAGTAAAGGGCGGGCCGTTATAGCCACTGCTGTCTGCTTATAACAACTGTAGATTCTTCTACTTAAAACAAAAGTATCCGAACCGTTCCTATTTGCATGTTGGGCTATTCCGCCCAAAACGCCCGTGAGCGGTTACGGCAGCGAAGCATGGATGCCCATATCTGTACACGGATATTCACAGTTCCCTTGGTAATCCATATCTTCATCCATAGCTGTCCATCTCTTTTTCGTAACGATGTCATATTATGCCGCACATTCGCCATTTCATCGTTAACTCTATATAAGCGATTTTTTTTTTTCTATAGAAGTGATTGCCGCCAGCTTGCAATTGTCTCCTTTGGCAACCTAGGCGATAACAAAGCTAGCAGTACTTTGGAAAAAGTGTTATCCCTACGAGTAATAGTGACGCGAATAGACGAGGCCACAGCTGTGAACATGTTCGTGCTCCCCCGCCTAGCCTAGGTTGTTGAGTATAAAAACAGCCATCACGCATACGTAAATTGGACGTTGTACCTGTATCTAACTATAATCAAGCAAACAGGCAGGCCACACCATGAAATCTTCTTAGTTCAGCTAAAAGAAATGAGTACATTTCTATACAATAACTTTACAATAACTGCTGAAAAGGAGATCATATTCTATCGGGTGTGACGGGTATAAACTGAAGCGTTTCTCTGCGAGGCAGGGGGCATCGTCTCATTATCAGCTAACGGATTGATTACCCCTGTGGCACTTTTTGCGCAAAGCGACACAACGAATAATCTCGTACTCTAGCAAAACATGAAAAGTCGACGACGTCGAAGCCTACACCTTCGGCCCCCTGAATTAATCGTCTTGGAAAGTGATGACCTAACTTATTTTCCCAACGTCTAAACTCGATATACGTGCGCTAAAAACTAGAAACCAGTACGCGTACTGAAATGACACTGACTGCTTATCAAACAAGCACTTGGTGAAGTGTAGAACTTAAAGTGTAAATTGTTGCCAAGAAAAGGAAGCCACGTGTTTGACCTTTGCGGATCGCATTCAAGTTATCAGTTGGTCAAAACGCTATAAATAGACTCCCCCAAGGAGGTATGAGCCCTCGACGTTTGTGTGCTGACACTTACAAATCACGTCGCTCTCAACTATAACAGTTTCATATGGTTGTTTTTACAATTAGTAATTCGTAATAGATTACCCATGATATGATAACGTTCTTCTACGCAATGATCTATGAAGTTTTTCATTACACTCTTCGCCGGCACTGCTGTGCCACGTTCAGCACGTCTTTTGGGTGATCGCTCTGTTAGGAAGAAATATTGTACCGATCTTCCGTATAACATTTGCAGCCTCCTTTGCCTCGTCTTCCTCTACTTCGGAAGAGCGCTAGAGAGGTTACGTGCATACAACCAACATCCATTTGCTACAATTTTATGTAGAGCAGCAGTTTCTAACTAGCATCAAGTTAATGTGCGATTATCTTACCACGTAGACCATTATCTAACTTGCAACAAAGTCTCCATTACTTGCTCCATAATGTCGCTCGGTTTGTGCCAGCGCATAGCGATGCATCGCGCCGTACCGTGCGCGAGCCATTTTAATCGTTTCACCCTCGGTGCCACATGATTCTGCCGTTAACGGCAACGCCACTAGCGGCCACGCACACTCATTCCCGTTAAACTTTTGTGAATAATGTCGCGTATCACCCAGTATTCGAGTACGATGATGGACGCACGAATGAAGCTAGAAAGAAACCTATTTAAACGGTCCAAAAGACAACTAAAAGAAAAAGACTGAGCATAACGTTAACAATACGTTGGTCATACAGCCTCTATACATTTTATGTCGTAACTTTCATCCAAGCCATCTTCCGGTAAGTTTGTTTTTTTATCCTTGAACGACAAAGATTGGCGCTATTGAACAGAATCAAACCATCGATCAGGTCCCAGCGAATCCTATATACTTTGGATGGTTTAACATCGATACCGGTTTACTACTAGCTTCTGACTTTTCTCTCGTCGTTCTAACGCTAAACGTGCGTCAGGAACGGCAATAATGGTAATAGCGGCGAGACCCGAAACAACCACAACAAAAGATGACTGTAGCATCTCACTTCGCAGTATCTTAAAGCACGCCCAGCACATTCAGTGTTCAGGCGTAGATCTACTGGGGCAAAAAACATACGGACAGAGGTGAGACGTTGAAGCGAGAACAGATCGTATCTGATCGCGTGCTAGATCGCGCGAGAAAAGCGCATAGTAAAGGACGCGCTTTTTCTCTCACTCTGTGTGAGTGGGTGACCCACCCCGTGGCGATGGCGGCAGCAGAATATGCTATACTATGTATCACCTGTTTATCTGAACTCGTAGGCTTGTCTCTTTGACCTTACGTGCTCAGCGAAAGTAATGTACTTAAGCAACGTGCGATAGGCAGGATAGTGAGCTTCATCCTGAATCCATCACGAATGGTGCGGGCAGACACAGCGGGGGCAGATCTACTAAAAATAATGCCTTAAGTGCGTTACTTGCTGCTTGATACGTGTTCGTTGGGATTCTACGTATATATACGTACGTTGCTATGTGGTAGTTAGCGTCATGCGCAGTCATTTGTATTTTATTTTATTGAGAATGTGGTTAAGTTGTGAAGAATAAGAGGCTAAAAAGGCGCTTGTGTCCAGGTGCATGTATAAACAGCTAAGAGGCGGGGCATAAGACGGTCTGGATAGATTTTGTGTGCTAGGTTTGTTAGGTGTTGGGTGTCGGCTGATGTTATATTTTTTAATGACGCTACACAGACCTTATTTCCATTCATTTCATGTGATCTAATCATAGGCGCGGTCATTAGCTAGTTGTTTCTCCTAGCTGCGGAAATTTCTCTAGATTTTAATTTTATCAAGGCTGTTGCACAATGGCTTCCAAGAGTGGCATAGGAATGAGTAACAAAAACGAATACGTTACATGCAACGATGAACGACCCTGTAAGTATTCTCTAGGTCAGACAAAGGAAAGCCTCTAACCCCCTGTCAGCTAGACATTGTAACGATAAGCTAATGACAAAGCCCTTGTTATTTTGTTTAAACAACAACGTCAATAGGGCTCCGCTGGCCCCTAAGCACATCAGCCGACGCCGTTCATCAGTCCATGATTAGCTACATTGCAATTTGTGCTTCCGATTACTCAGTCTGCTTAGATGCTGCTGTGCATTTTCTACTTGCATGCGATTTCGATTTTTACGGAGCTTTCCCATTGTCTACTATCGTTTGACTCTATATAATGGCTGCTTTTACAGTAAAATGTAAAGTAATTACAGTTATCCTTATTAGCATTGAGGTTTATATCAAACTATACTACAAACATCTATCGCGGGTTATAATAAGCCTGTCTCAATAACATTTTTACACGTTGCACACAATTGATACTGTATCATAGACGAAACTATTTGAAGCGGTGAAGAAATCCACGTTATAGCGATTCTGAATGCTTCTATCTCTCGCTTTATAGCCTTTTTATCTGTTTCTCATCTTGGCTTAGTTACCTAGTGCGCAATCTTTGATGATCGCATGTAGACAATGTGTAACAGTGTTTCGCGGAGTATGCCGCGATGCCTAACTTCAAACCGTTTTCTGTTCAAGCGCACACAAACGTTTCAAGACAGCGTCCCCACCCTCTTTTTTCATCAGATAGAAAGAGGTTTAGTTCTATCTATATCTATGTGCCGAAAGCTGTAATACGAGCAGAAAATGCTCGAGAATAGGAATTAGTTCGTTTAGAGAAACGTAGATCGTTATTATCCTTGTCGGCTGCTCGGGCAAAATGTTTTTTTAATTTTCGCTTACTCTTCGTTTTATTATTATTAGGAACTGAGATCATGAAGGAAACCGCGAAGGAGCTTGGTCTGAGCGAGGCTTCCACCGAGAAGATCGCCGAGTACTACAAGAAAATCTATGAGGCGATGAAAGAAAAGGGTGAATATACCACGGACAAGACCGAAGAGGAAAAGAAGAAGTTTATAGAGGAGTCGACTGCGGCCATCCAGGCTGAGGTCGATGAGGCCGATAAGGAGCTCGTCGCCAAGGTCATCGCCGCGTCCTATGTAAGCTCTCCCCACAGGGTTTTATAGGAAGATATGGTTCCTGCCGATATGGAACATGCTCACAGAAAGCACTCCAGCCGTAGAAAAGATGATGGCCGCGGAATTTAACCCTTTGTATGGTTGATAATATAATTATAGGGTAGATAGCGTTTGATGAGGCGGAGTCTTAAAAGAAAACACACTCTGGTAGAATAAAAAGAACAGTTTTATGAACCTGTGTGCCTGTATCAAGCTCGAAATCAATGAGTTTGATATTAACAAAGATAAAGCGCGTCGAATATGTCGTTACTTTTCACATGGGCTGCCAATTCCCCAACACGAAGATATTTCCATATAACGTAATACCTATATATTCTTCGCGTTTTCGTACTGGCGAAGATTTAACACTGTATCCATTCAAGCAAAGGTCTGCGTACTCGAATCGGCCATGTTCTGATCCGTATGTATTTTTGTGCTGTTTTTTGATTCTTTTTTCAGGAGAAGATCCAAAAGAAGAAGGCCGAGTTGGCTGCCGCTGACGAGTAAAATTAGTCTTTTTCGATAGCTAAAACATAAGTAATTATAGATTAAGAACGATATAAACATAAAAAAAAAAAAAAAAAAAAGCGAATAGTGGAGAACAAAGCTAACAACAACGATGATAGAAATACGGAGAAGCAATACCAAACCAACAAGTTAAGTAAGTTAATAAAAATATATGTATCAGCTTTAAAAACCCGGTACAACTAAATGTTAGCAGTGTCTTCATTCGCTGCACACTAGTGCCTATGTGCACAGATGGCGAGCGAATACGTCATCGGCTATTATATTCGATGGGTTATTCGGTGTATTGGGTAGCGATTGGCATATAGGGACATATATGAGTACTTGTACGTGTAAATCGAATCGTAGATGGCTCGGGAAAGCTCTCTTGTGTTTTTCTCATTGATCCGGTTCGTTTGCGTCGGTTTTCTTTTTGTTCGTTTACTTTTCTTGCGGTTTAGTATCGTCATAAATAAAAAAATTAGTAAATGTCATAGGATGCATTTGTTTATTTAACTTCCAACACACAAACCCTAGCTTTTCAAGTAACGTAAAACGACGAAACTCATGGAAGCTACCCAGAGGTCAGAGTGAGAAAAGTATAAATCTAGAAAAGCTTGGGGACCTCTGTAAGTATCTGTGATTGCTACATAGGACGGGAGAGCAAAAGAACTGACGTCCTTAGTTTTTCCTTGCCTACGCTTAGTTTGAAGTGCGTGGCGTCCGTGAGAGCTACCCGATCAAAACTGGTTTAGGTGCCACACTGTAGTATAATCCATAGAATAGCATGTAAATGAGTCAACCCTGATAAATATTTATCAGACCTATACACCTATCCAAACGCTGAGCTTGACCCATGCTAACTTTGCAACTATACAGAAGGGCTAGGTGAATGGCAATAGCACGTACTTTTCCATAGTCAACACAACTATCGTCCCATTGAGCAAAAATCAATAGTACACACAAGAACTGTTAATTGCTAACCATTTGGCGAACCTCTTTTGGCCGAACGCGGTATAGTTTCCTTACGACAGGATATACGACAGCGGCATCACTGATCCCTGACAGTTAACATTGACAGAGCTATCGGTATAAATACAGACGTATGATTCAATATACTGGGAAATATAAGTACATACCATATGCAGACGATCTGTAAATGCATCCTAAGGCAAGCTGTTCGCATGGAACAACACATGTTCTTAAATGGCGTCTCGAAAATTGCACTTACTTCTAGATGTGTTGAGTTATAATTACTTTAAGAAATATATAATCGAACTTGTAAGTTCTTCGATATAGAAACGGTCGTTCAAGAAATGGATGTATAGTCACACGGTTCGAAAGGTGGACGAGCTGGCATCATATCATGGCCGCGTGCAGGAAGGCCAGGCCGCTGAGCAGATAAAGCATTGACCCTCCATTTCGTTGAATACTATCGACGTATTTCAGTATTGCGATAAATAGATAACTCTCTACGCTAAGTAACTAGTAGCGGATGTATTTTAAGCAGAGCTACGATCTTTATTGTACGTATACGATATCTGTCGCGGAAAAAAAATCCATGACTGCCTTCGTACAAGTCGTGCCGACGATACATAATCTGTATAAATATAGAAGATTATTTAGTTAATTATATTGGTACAATTATTAATACTGACAAACTAAAATAATGTTGAAAACGTGCGCAGCAAGGTTAGCGATACATAATCATTATATGAGATGCTCAAGCCAATGAACATAGAAGTGTCTTAACGTATAGTTACTACGGATAGGTGAGTACAACTTAAAGAAGTAATCCTAAGTATCCCCGTAGTTTAAATTTCCAGTCGAGTGTACTAAGATAATTTTTTGCTTAATAAAACGATTATACTAGGCAGTCGATTAATTTACGTAAGACACGCATACAATAGATCTTTTTAGATCGGCATTTTAGCACAGTATCCCTCTAGGCACATTACGCTAATAACCGATTATAACTAGCTCAGGCATAACAAACGTTTAAGGACAACAGGTAACTTTAGACAAAATGTTCTTTGAAAAGAGCTTTGTCCCTACAGAAACGTGCATACGCCATTTGCCTGTTGTAATGGTGTTTCCACCGCTGTGCCAAATATCCAATACCTATAACGACGAATTGATTTCGTACTTTCTCCGCTTCCTCGAATCGCAAACATCAATTCTGATCACCTAACGTGCTCCGAAGTCCGCAGACAAATATTCGTCTGAAAAAACTGATCGGAAGTAATGAAATCAATCTGGTCTTCTATTCGTCATTGTTTGCTGGAGCACGACTTCAGTGGCTTTCATTGCAGGCAAAGATATTGAAAGGATTGTCCGACGTACAGGGCGCGGGCATCAGACGAAATCTAATAAATTACAATGACACAAGGTATTTCTCTACGAGAAGCAAAAGTGAGACGTTCCGTGCAATCGGAGTATTCTGCGTCATTATGTTTATAATCTGTATGTTCTGATAAGTCGTTCTCCTGATCGTTACAATCGAAACGAAGCAGTAATGGCGTCCACTCGTATCGAAACCGTGGCTTTCTTCAGTATCGCCATACTCATGTGTAGCAAAGAGTAGATGAATCGAGACAGACTAGGAAATCAGACTGGACAGCTGGTCCCCTGAAGAGATCGGATCTTCCTCAGTCAGGTATTCTATGTCTAATAGGTCACGAATAACTGGTACGGGTGGGGGGACCGAAATGTCAAGATGGCTGAGTCAAGCAAAATTCGAGGGATCACAGATCTGGTATTAGCAGACTTTAGTTCGGGATAGTTGTTAGAATGCTTCAAACTAAGAGAAATAATCGAATCGTCCAGATTAATTCGTTATTAGAGATGCTGAAATTTCCATAAATAGAGAATTTCTATCGTTATAGCTATACTGTAGAAACTATGTGAAGAAACCACGTTTTTTTGGAACGGTCTGTGGATCAAGCGTATTGTTATAGAGATCGATGATTCCGCACGATGGAATCAGGATTTTAAGTAGATAACTAAGTACTTAGTATTGATAAAAATATATACATTAAAATAACTTCACACAAAAGGCTGTAAAGAATACACCGTGAAATGTGTTGGCTTCTCTTTTTTTCCCCGTAATCCTTGGCTTCATTTGGCCTTCAAGTTTTTCAAGGCTTTAGATATTTGCTTAGATGTTCAGGGTATTACTAACGCATACATTACGCACTTTTGTTCAAACACAGACATGTTCCCTAGCGTAAAAAAATAGCACTATTTTCTCATGGAACTAAACAAGATATCATTACTAATTAACACCCGTATTATCTATTTTTACTTAATTATCAAATGAGCAGCAGGGCAGGTGACATAAAAAAAAATCTAAATACCTCCACGCAGTAAAGGTTATGTTTCAATGGTCTTGGAGAGCCTTTCTTTGCTGTCCCTTTATTAGAGGAAGAGCGTAAAGGTTTGTTTTTCGTCCAAGATGCAGCGAAAGTGGCGGCCCTAAGGAAGCGCCTTGAATGCCCACAGAAAAACATCGATGGGGCGTTATATGTAGTTGTCACAGAATATGTTAATACATAACGTGGAACCTAGACGCTATGTTCACCTACTTCTTGTACACTTATTCTAACAGAGCCCGACTGAAATGGCTATTACGTAAAAAAGTTAGTTCCTCAATAGCGCTTGGATGGCAGTAAGTCCGATAATACGCAGAATTAAAAAAAAATGGCTAATTGCTAGTTCTCTATCTATTTTTGATAAATTTTTGATATAATATAGGAAATTTTGTCCCAGTAGCCAACAACACCGATGTAAAAGCGATATGAACTATCACTTTTAGCTTCAGATGCAGTAATTATGTTTAGCCTTCTTTTTTGTAGGTTCTGTGTGGCCTTAAACTACCCTTGATGATGGCGTGTTTATACATTTCAAAAATAAACTACTGTCATCGAACAATTGTTACGTTTATTTACATCATATGACACACTATTTCGCACTAATTAGTTTTACAGGATAACACGATATCACCAGCCGTAACAATTATCTATGCAAACGTTGACAGCCGCTACACCGGAGGCACTTGCCGATTTCCATGTATGCTAACCACATTAGCTCACCAGGAGCAGTTAGGATCCAGTAACCGTCCTCTGTTGTACAATAACAAAAGCCGAACAGCGACTGATTGCTAGTTACGTATCGGAAATGAATTTTGAAGAATCACAGTGCATTGGCCGCAGGATCAGCCAAGCAAAATCCGAAATGGATCCTTTCGAAATAGAATGATTGACTACTTCAGCTTTCAAAACTCGGCACAATGTGTGAATCTCACACCTGCCTGCTACTTTATCCAGCTGAAACTGACTTCATCCCCATTCGACCTGGGAGACGTTATGGTCCTCAGCACGAGTCAGTGTCCAATTTGCCGACGTGAGACGTGCTTTTACTGGTATACCCGACGGGATGGTGCAGTCGGTTACGGCCCGAGGCCAGGACGACGTCAATGAGAGATTCTGAGAGAGTCTTTGCACGCGTTTGCTCGCGCGGATCCATTAGAAGCGATACGAGTCGATTTGGAAGGCTTCGTAAGAACTGCTCCATCCTAGAAGAGCAAACGAAGCCAATGGAAGCGGAGACAGCCTTCGCTTTCCCCAAGGATGCAACATCATCTGATACGGCTGAGGCGGCTTAGAGGAGGCTAGGATTCGAAATTGCAGGTATTCCAAGAAATCAAAAAAAAAGAGGTCAAACGAGGTGAAGGACGGACGTTCATAGGAAGAGCTCAGGAAAACTAATGTTAATGAAAAAATCTATCTGAAGCCTTTAGATGGGTGGTTTGCAATGCGACTCCGATGGAGAGATAGCGAAGGTAACAAAAAGGTAAAAGTGAAGAAAAGGCAGATGCTATGTAGAGAATTGTCAGGGAAATGCCGGATTAGATCCATATAGCTGGTGAGATTTAGTGCAGCTTGAATGAGGTAGCTCAACAAAAGAAGCAATAGGAGGACTTCTCGTGCTGGCTGGATCCGTAAACAAGAGAATAGACATATTTCGTTTTGTGAGGGAGCGGATTTAAATTACATTATTAGGATTACGATAGACTTAACGATTGAACCATTAGAAGGGGATGGTTGTTTGGTTAATCAGTCGTGACTCGGATTCGACGCAAAAGGTCTCAGATATAGTGTTTTACTGTACCAT